TTCTTCTTCTTTTTCTTCTTCAGTGTTATATGAATTACAGAATGGATGTTCAACATGTTCATTTACAGTCGTAACTTCCTCCTCATTATCATCAACAACATCTTCCTCGGCAACGGCTGTTTCATCATCAAAATTCGGGTATTGACCAATATCAAAATCATTACACGCATGGTCTGTTTCTTCTTCTGAAAAATCATCAAAATCCGAGTATTGACCAAGATTAAAGTCCGGGTATTGACCAAGATCAAATTTCGAATACTGACTAGTACTCACAATTTTTTCTGTTGGCTCATCATCGTCTAACTGGTCAATACGAAAACCGGAATTTGGTGCTGAAAGTTGATTGGGATTTGGATTAGGGAAAGGTTGTGGGTTTTGAGATTGTGTTTGGTATTGGAAATGTGGTGAAACAATATTTGCTTGGTGATGAAATTGTGGTAGAACCATTAAATTTTGTGCACTATAAACTGAGGTTGAAAAACTTAGTTGATTACTACCCGCTACTGACCCAACTTCACTACTTCTAGGTTCAACAACATACAATGTAACATCATCACTTGAAACACTAATGTAAGCAATGAATTGTTCAACGTCTTCATTGTCGGTTAACAAATAAACTTTATCATTTCTCTGATAAGATAGCCTAAATCCACTTAGGGGCTCTAAATTCAATTTATTTGCAACACGTAACATTAGAGTTTCATAAGTTAATTTTTTTAATGACAGTTTTAGTTGAAGATTCATGGGTAAAGGCATATATTGTAAAACACCATGAACATTCTCCCATGACCCTCCAAAACACAAATCTATCCAAACATGATCAACATTAGATGATTTCATTATTGTAAATTAATTTACTAAACAAACGAGTTGCGAAACTAAAACCTGTTGCCGGATGGGGAAGGATGTCGTTGGATATAGGAACGGATGTCGCCGGAGAGAGTGATAGATGGAGATGGAATGAGTTGCGATTTAGGGATTTAGGTTATGAGTTACTGCTGCTGCGTAGTTATATACTCAAAACATTTGTGTTGCGAAATTAAAACCTATTGCGAATTCAGAAATCGAGTTGCGAATTTGAAATTCAGTATTGCGATAGTCAGAATCTCGTTGCGATTTACAGATTCGCATTGCGATTTACGTAATCGCGTTGCGATTTACGTATTCGCATTGTGATTTACGTAATCGCATTGCGATTTACGTAATCGCGTTGCGATTTACGTATTCGCATTGCGATTTACGTAATCACATTGCGATTTTTCAAATTCGCGTTGTGATTTACGTATTCGCATTGCGAATTAGGAAAATCGCAACTTGAATTTGGGAAATCGCAATACGATAGTCAGAATCGCGGTGCGAATCTGGAAACTGATTTGCGATACCGGAGATCGCGTTGCGAATTATCGATCGCATTGCGATTTAGTTGGTCATTTTGGCAAATCCAAAAAAAGTTGGTTAAAATCGTATATTATAAGGCATTTCTGGTCACTGAGGTTATTTTCTCTTAGGATTTTTATGAATTTCAGGTTTTTTTGTAATTTAAGAGAAATTAATTTTTTTATTAAACATAACAATATTTTTAATTTTAAAAATTCAAAATACACATCACTTTACAGATAAAATTAATAGCAGTTCCGGCCCGAGAACCTAAAGTGATAACGTTTATAACGTTAGGCATCAAAATCATTCAAAAAATATTGTAGACACTAATTGGTGAAAAACGATATAGTTTGATATAGAGAAATATTTTTTTTTTCATTCTCCGCAATAGTATTTTATCTACAATCTTATTGTTCTAATCATTGTTTATCATAACACTATAACATAATATTAATCAAAATATATGTCTTAATTTCGCCATTAAACCCTTTTAACCGAACTCAAGCCCTCAAATCATGTATCCACTAATCAAAACCTTAAAGCTCCATTTAAAACCCTAACCCTCACACCTAAAAGCCATTAAACCTCAAATTATTATTAAAGACTAAAATTGAACCCCCAAAATTAAGAGTATAAAAATAAAATATATAAGTTTTTAGAGATTAAAACGGTTACTATAATGTTGAACGCCGTCATTTACGTCTACTCAATAGTTGAAGTTAGTAACGAATGACCAAAATAAAAATACAAGAATAAGTGAGGTAATTAAATAGATCATTTACCCTTTAAATAATATAATTTATTATGCAATTTTGCATGTTTTAATATTTTTTTTCTTGGATTAATTATAAAATAAGTGTCCAAACTATAGCGTTTTTCACGAATAGGTGTCTATAATATTTTTTGAATAATCCTGGTACCTAAAGTTATAAACATTATCACTTTAGGTGCTCAGACCGTAAAAACCCTTAATTTTCCTCGTTAAGTAATATATTTCACATTTTGGTAACTTTAAAAAATTTATTTATAATTAAAAAAAGTATATATTTTAATAAAACACACACAAAAATTTCAAAACAGTCCCAAAACTTTAAAAACCTTCATTTCAACCTCTAAACCCATGTCGACCGCCGCCCTTTGCCATTGGTGAAGATCCACCCAACCTCACCTAACCCCGACGATCAATACCCCTATGAAATCGCGACTGATCGATGGCCAATCGACGTTTTGTATCCCGTGAATCCTAGGATGAAAATCGTGATCTCATGTGATTTCGACTGCTAATTGGTGGCAACTATGGTGGCGTATGATTAGGAGGATAGCAGGGACTAAGTCGGTAGCGACAGTCGTTGTTTGAAAGGGAGATAGTGGGGTTAGAGTTATGATTTAGGATTTTTACGAATTTCAGGTTTTTTTATAATTTAAGAGAAATTAAGTTTTTTTTATTAAACATAACAATATTTTTTATTTTAAAAATTCAAAATTAACAGTGACACATCATTTTACAAAGAAAACTAATAGCAATTACGGCCCGAGAACCTAAAGTGATAACGTTTGTAACGTTAGGCATCAAAATCATTCAAAAAATATTGTAGACACTAATTGGTGAAAAACAATATAGTTTGATATCGAGAAATATTTTTTTTTCATTCTCCGCGATAGTATTTTATCTACAATCTTATTGTTCTAATCATTGTTTATCATAACACTATAACATAATATTAATCAAAATATATATGTCTTAATTTCGCGTATCACTCATTTTAAATATAATTATTTAGATTATATGAAAACAAATTAATTTTTTTTTGGATATTCAAATATACTATTTAAATATGCTATTTTATTGTGAATAATGATGCATTGAGATTTGGATATCCGGTTTCCAAAATATGCTTTACCTTTTAATACTATTTTAACTTATTAAATTTATATATTTAACTGGTTTTGATATCGGATACATCATATTATTTCATGGCTAACAAAAAAGGGTTAATGACATAAATGGCACTTGTATTTTCCTAAATTTATGAATATGGTGTTCTACTTTTTAATTGCTTTTATTTTCGTATTCTATTGTGCCCTGAGATTAATGTTGTTAACTGCTGATGTGGTAGGACATTTAGCATTCGTCTATGCTGTCACATGACATTATTTTTACATGAAAAAAATAAATCAAACTTAGGGACATAATTATAATTTTATCAATTTTTTTGAAGAAAGAAATAAAATGTTATAAATCTTTTATTTAATTTTTGGCCTTTATTATTAACTAAATTTAATTTTTTTTAAATCAAAAACTTAAATTTCCATGGCTACTCTTACTAGAATAATCATCACCCATGCCACTAATCATTTTTGGCCAACCTAGAAATTAAAGAACGAAATAAATAAAATAAAAGGTCATAAATCATTAGAAAACAATACTCAAACATTCATATAGGCATCATGCTAGAACCAAGAATCTTTAAAAAATAATAAATATCCCTTTAACTATTGAGGTTGCTTGATTCGTTCTCTACCAATACATCAAGTCGGTTTCGACGGGGGCTAGTTTTCCACCAATTTGGTGACTTTGCTTCCCAAGCAAATATTTAAGGCTAGATTCAAATTTGGTGACATTGTAGAGTTCAGTCTTCAACTTTTTTTAATTATGTTGGTATCATATTATAAGAAGTGATGGATATCATTTCTCAAATTCTAAAAGATTATCTAACATTGGGTTTGAAGCACTTGAGTCCACTGCTTGAGCTAAAAATATTTTTCAACTTTGACTTATCAATCTCCGAGTCGCAGCCACCGAATCAACGTTGGAGAGATAATTATTCTTCTCGCTTATAACTAATATCTTCAAAATGTTTTAGGTGGGCATCTGTCAGTTGAAGGTGTATGTCATGCCACAATTCCTTCAAAAACTTTTGCCACTACTGAGCTTATGAAGATACCAACTTTCAGGCATATGTGCTCAATCAAAGGAAATCTCGCTTCAACTCGAATATAATCTTGTTTATCCTAGTCAATTACATGAATTGTGTAATCTTAAATCGTTTTCTATCAATTTTTTTGTTAAATTCTTTTATGAAGTGATCTTACGCGCTCTATCCTGATTGAGCAACCATCTCAATCGTTTTCCATCGGTTAAGTGCGTCGCCCTTTAACAATATAATAGCAGACTCTAAATTATCCTTCGAAGTAACATGAAATTGACATCATTTGTTTCATAGAATTCAATTATCTTGTACCTTTGGAGTCTCTTGATCAAAGTCTCTAATGGTGCAACACTAGGTAGAACAACCTAGACATTAAAAATAATTAGTAAAAGATGATAAACTTGATTGATTTTTTAAAAAGATTGTGGACCAATTTTACTAATAAGCCTCGACTTTAACCCATAACAAAAAGTTGACAATATGACGCACGTGAAACAAAAGCTGGAATGGGAAACTTCGAATCAGCTCCCTCAATAATTTTGTTAAAAAACAAGTTTTTAAATAAATACTCCATTCTCCATGGTTGAATGATGATGACCCCATAGATCCAATCTTCATTTCTCAACCTCGTTGAACATTTTACTTGAAATTCTCTTAAAATTTGCAGAGAAAAACCAAAGCTTTATTTTCTTCGGGGTTTTCAATCTGTTGGCATTGTTAAGTGCTAAGGAATCACCATTTATATAGTGGGATTCAAAAACGGCTTGAAGACGATGAGTACAGAGGATTCACGGGCTGATAAAGTTCCCCATAGCGGTCCATTGAGTGGACCTTTGAATAAGAGGGTAGCCAGGAAAAGTGCTCGGTTCAACGTCCCGGAACCGAGCTCATCCAAAGACGATGGTTACGTTGAGCTTACCCTCGATGTTTCCGATGACTCAGTGGCGGTTCACAGTTTAAAGGCTGCAAATGGAGGTGATTTGGAAGAAGACCCGGAGCTAAGTTTGATTGCCAAAGGTCTTGAGAAGAGAACCACATTGGGAACATTGATGGCGAGGAATGCTTCGGCCAAGATTAGGCAAGTGAGTCATGAGTTGAAGCGCTTAACATCTTTTTCTAAAAAGCCGGTCCCGTTCGACCGGGCTAAGTCCGGGGCGGCTCATGCCTTGAAAGGGCTCAAGTTCATAAGCAAGACTGATGGCGGACATGGATGGGCAGCTGTTGAGAAGCGGTTCGATGAGATTACCGGTTCGAACAATGGATCTTTGCCTCGTGGGAGGTTTGGAGAATGCATAGGTATGTTTTTGAAACGAGCAATGAATTTGTGAATTTTCATTTCAGTTGAGGATGTTTGTGAATCGATGTGTTTAATGGCAGGAATGGAGTCCAAGGAATTTGCAGGGCTGTTGTTTGATGCACTTGCTCGAAACCGAAACTTTCATGGTGATTCCATTGATAAGGCTCACCTCAAAGAGTTTTGGGATCAGATCTCCAATCAAAGCTTCGATGCCAGGCTTCAAACTTTCTTTGACATGTAAATTCCCAACTTTTTTCGAACTTATTTTGATCCTAACTTGAAAATTTGATCCGATTACCTCGAATGCCAGGGTGGATAAAGATGCAGATGGAAGAATAACTGAAGAAGAAGTCAAAGAGGTAATGCCATGGCATGCTAATTATAGCTCATGTAAGTCAGTCAGTCTTATTTGTAGGAGTCAGATATGTCTTTAGGTAGAATCAGATATTGATATGTAAACCAAGAAGTTGGCTATATGATATGTTCCATAGAGTGATTGCAGTCTATGTTACATGGACTTAGATGTGAGTTTCGGATATGGGTATGTGTTCCACAAGTTTATGTTCATTTTAGCTATTTTTTTCCCCGATACTTCAAGCAAAATGTAGACAGAATTATGTTTAATGAAACTATTGATACATATAACCAAGAAGTTGACTATATGATATGTTCCTTAAGAGTAATTACATCTAAATGTTGATCTATTTTTGCAGATTATCAGCCTGAGTGCCTCTGCAAACAAACTCTCAAATATCCAGAAACAAGCTGAGGAATATGCTGCTTTGATTATGGAAGAATTAGACCCTGATAATCTAGGATACATAATGGTAAAATTCAAGTAACTTTACTATTATTTTAGGTTTGTTCTTTTAATCTTTTGGCATCAATTCCATGACCCAAATTCTTGAACTTCAAACCAGATAGACAACCTGGAAATGCTTCTCCTACAAGCTCCAACCCAAGCCATAAGAGGAGAAAGCCAAAATCTGAGCCAAATGATAAGCCAGAAGCTTAGGCCTACACATGACCATAACCCAGTGAGGAGATTCTATAGGGACACCAAGTATTTCTTGGTAGATAACTGGCAAAGAGTTTGGGTGATGGCTCTATGGATTAGCGCTATGTGCGGCCTATTTGCATACAAGTATGTCGAATATCGAAGGCGAAAAGAGGTGTTTGATGTGTTGCGGCATTGTGTTTGCTTTGCCAAAGGTGCAGCCGAGACACTTAAATTGAATATGGCTCTGATTCTGCTACCAGTCTGTCGAAACACCATCACCTGGTTAAGGAACAAGACGAAACTAGGTGTTGTAGTTCCCTTTGACGACAATCTCAACTTCCACAAGGTAACATAGACATTTAACATAGGGATTATTGCATATATGTTGGAATTACCAGATGAATCAATGGGGTTTTATTTGATTACTTTTTTAGTACAGGTTATAGCAGTTGCGATTTCGATTGGGGTTGGCATACATGGAATTGCTCATTTGGCATGTGATTTCCCTCTCCTGCTTAATGCCACACCTGATGAATATAAACCAATGATAAAATATTTTGGAGAACAACCCCACAGTTACTGGCATTTTGTTAGGCACGTAGAAGGAGTAACTGGGATTGTAATGGTGGTGTTAATGGCCATAGCTTTCACACTAGCCACACCATGGTTCAGGCGGGGTAAGATGAAGAACCTTCCCGAGCCTCTCGAGAAGCTCACTGGCTTCAATGCCTTCTGGTATTCTCACCATCTATTTGTCATTGTTTACACTCTTCTCATTGTCCATGGAATTAAGCTCTTCCTGACCGAGAAAACTTTCAAGAAAATTGTAAGCAATGGCCACAAACTCGTCTTACAATAAACTCAATACTGTAAAAACCATCTCTTTTCAACTTAATTTGTTTTGGATGTGACAGACTTGGATGTACTTGGCTGTTCCAGTTCTCCTTTATTTATGTGAAAGATTGACAAGGCTGCTTAGATCAAGCATCAAGGCTGTTACAATACAAAAGGTAAGCAATATTTTACACTATACACAATCCAATGCAATGTATAATAAAGCTCATCAGGGTTTCTAATTTCTGCCATTGAAAAGTACAGGTTGCTGTTTATCCTGGAAATGTACTAACACTTCACATGTCAAAGCCTCATGGATTTCGATATAAGAGTGGACAATACATGTTTGTCAATTGCTCTGCGGTGTCTCCTTTCGAATGGTATGCCTTTGCCTACGTTATATGGCTCAGACATAGCCTGCAATTTGTTTTTCCTGCTAACTTTGTTTTAACATGACGATGATTTGTTTACATGGAAACAGGCATCCATTTTCGATTACTTCGGCCCCTGGTGACGAATATCTTAGTGTTCATATAAGGACTCTCGGTGACTGGACACGACAACTGAGGACTGTATTTTCAGAGGTAAGTTACCCCTCCATCATAATCTTTGACGTGCAGCACGGACCAATTAAGCTAAACCCGAGTTTTAGTGTTGGAAATGTTGTTTAAGGCTGCTAAGATTTATGTTTAACTTGTTCTTCCAGGTGTGTCAGCAACCTACTAATGGGAAGAGTGGCCTCCTTAGAGCCGACTACTTGCAAGGATCTGACAACCCTAAGTAAGCCAAACTCATGACTAACTTAATCACCTCTTTCCTTCTTTCTTTTTTCTCCTTTTTGAAGCAACAAAAACATGATTTTGGAAGGTATCAATCTTTATATCCCATGATTTTCTATAACCATATACGATATAGGTATATATTTTTTCATATGTGATATACATATATAACACAGAGTTGAGGGACTAGATTCGAACTTGAAAATTAATTCACTAATTGCTAAAAATTTTGAGTTATTCAAGTTCTATTTTATAACTCAACTCGAATTTAAAAAAATTCAATTCGAGTTAAGTTTATGAATGGTTATATTAGTGATGATTCTTTGTATATATATGAAACTTTAAAGCTTGAATGGCTGAAGGAGAGCAAGTGAATCATATATATATATATATATATATATATATATATATATATATATATATATGTATATGTATATATATATAGAAAAGGTAAATTATACACATTATTATAGGTGTTAGAGTAAATTTTCGTTTTTTCTATTGAAATTTCAAAAGTAATAAATTATGAGTGTTTCTTTGTATTTGGTTCATTTTATGACTATATTTTACGAGAGTTCCTTTGTATCTGGTTCATTTCGGGTTTGTATAATTCCAGGTTCAGTCCATTTTGGGTTTGGGTCAATTTCGAGTTCAGTTTGACCGATACAAGTAGTTAACTTTTTTATGATCAAATCGAGATGGATTGAGTTTGGATTAAGTTAATCAGACTAAGTTTGCAAGTTTGGATCATATTGGACATGTTTAACCCAACCATAAAAGAAAGCTAAATGTATTTTCCATGTATATGTTTGGTCGTAGATTCCAGCATAAATTATATAATATCATTTTGAGTAACGTACGTGAATGGTATCTAAATTATAGGGTATTATTTTGTTAAGTATTTCGATTATTAAAAGTTATAAAATGGTTCATTCACTAAAGGGGATATTTTGTTGAATCCTCAACTATTAAAAGTTACAAAATAGTCATTCAATTGTTCATATGTTTCAAACACGTTATTTTTCGTTAAAAAATTGACAGCCGTCTAAATTGGACGTTAAACTGCTGACTGAGATATGACAAAATCTGATTTCGTAATCTCAAACGACTATACAATTGAAACGATTCTGGGATCAAATTTTATCATATCTCAGACAACAATTTAACGTCCAATTTAGACAGCTGTCAATTTTTTAACTACAAAGAACGTGTTTGAAACATATGAACAGTTGAGTGACTATTTTGTAACTTTTAATGGTCGAGAGACTCAACCGAGTAATACACTATATTCGAAGGACCATTTTGTAACTTTTAATTGCTGAGAGACTCGAGAAAACAACAACCTATAGTCAATGGACCATTTATGTACTTTACCCTATTCTTTTCACTTTCATTTCATATGACTAACGATGTCCTAACAATATGATGTTCTTTGATCCAATTGGTGACTCCAACAGTTTCCCAAGAGTTCTAATCGACGGACCATATGGAGCGCCGGCACAAGACTCCAAGAAATATGAAGTGGTTTTGCTAATCGGACTGGGGATTGGAGCAACCCCGATGATCAGCATTGTCAAGGACATAGTAAACAACATGAAAACCAAGGAAGAAGAAAAAGGAGAAGAGATGAGTGGTTTAGAGAATGGAAATGGGGCAGCCATTAGTAAAAGCAGCTCATCAAATTCCAAAAGGAGGGTAGAAAACTTCAAGACAAGGAGGGCATACTTTTATTGGGTGACGAGGGAACAAGGATCCTTTGATTGGTTCAAAGGAATAATGAATGAAGTAGCTGAAATGGACCATAACCATGTCATAGAACTCCATAATTACTGCACCAGTGTTTACGAAGAAGGTGACGCTCGTTCGGCTTTAATCACCATGCTTCAGTCTCTCAATCATGCTAAAAATGGCGTTGATGTAGTTTCCGGTACAAGAGTGAAATCCCACTTCGCTAAGCCTGATTGGCGCAGGGTTTACAAGCAAATTGCTGTTAATCATAACAATGCTCGTGTTGGTACGTACTTTCAAAACTACCCCTTTTACTGGTTTGATTCAACTTTGCATATGTATGAAAATGAAATAGAATTGATATTAAATGGCATTGTGCTTTGGCAGGGGTGTTTTATTGTGGAGCACCGGCGCTGACGAAGGAACTACGACAACTAGCTTTGGATTTCTCGCATAAGACGTCCACTAAGTTTGATTTCCATAAAGAGAATTTTTAATCCGCATTTCGGATAAAGGAGAAGAAGCTTTAGGTAAGGGGAAAAGAAGAGCCTTAAGTTCACTTGGAGACGGTTCCATCTACTGCTGAATCTACCTCAACTGTTTAAATGTCTTTGCCCCCTTTTATTGGCCTACATGTTGACCCATCTTTCTTAATTATTAATGAAATGCTTCTTGTTTGGTGGGGTAATATATGGTTTCTTCTATATGCAAAATTACATAAAATATTGACATTCACCTATTTCTTCCACTTTATAACTTCTTTAACATCAGCAACACATTACTGTCTCCAATAAATTTCAAATTGCTGAACATGTAAGGCCTCTGTAAGAACATCCGCTACTTAATAATGACCTGGTACATAGTTGTCTTGGAGAATTTGTTGCATAATCCTCTCTTAAACGAAATGCAAATCAAGATCAACATGCTTAGTTTTAACATGTAAAACTGGGTTGGCAGTCATAGCTATTGCACTGGTGGTGTCACACCGAGTCTTGAGAATCTCATCAAGTGCATATCCCATATTATATAAGAGTTCTTTGACCCACATAATTTCAACAAGGCTTCTGTATTCAGCTTCAATTGTTGATCTCGAAATATATTGTTTTTTTCTCAAACTCCAACACCAAAAATGTGACCCGGGATATACACAATAACCTGGCATAAATATTCGACCGCTAAGGTTATTGCCCTAGTTTGCATCTGAAAAAGAAGTGAGAGATACTTGTTTTTTATTTAGGAGAGTACCAGAGTCCATGATCAATTGTCCTCTTTTGATAGCTCAAGATTCTTTTCACAACAACTCATTGTACATCGTCAGGCTGTTCCGTGCACTGGGCTGCTTTGTTAATTGCATAAGCAACACCATGTCTCGTACGAAAAATATATTGAAGAGCACCTACAATGTTGCAATAGTGATGTATATTCTTCAAATCTTCATCATCAAATTTGCTAAGTTTAGGAGGCAAGGCAATTGGGGTTGCCAATAATGTTACTATGTATGGTCATTGTCAATGCTGCTAATGGTGTTGTAGGCACTTGCTCATCTATAACTGATGGTACATCTGTTGTTCTCTATTCAAGTAAGGCATCATTCACGACTGGTTGCATTGTTTCTGTGGGTAACCACCGAAGACTTCTATGTGAGTATAAAAAAATGAGTGGCATCACCTATTACCACCTTACCCTTCCCTGTGTAGGGTTAACTCGTATTTAATCCCCTTGATCTCAAGTCACATGGTGAGTTGATCCACCAACAAGATACCATTTTGTGCTCGTCTGCTACAGGAGCTTTTACCATTAATTAATGAGTTTCCTGGAGCAGTATCAAGAGTTTGTGTAGCTCACTATCATTGGAACTTGCAGTTGAACCAATGAAAGAATTGTAACTCGGAGGATTCCAATGGATAATAGCAAATGTTATCTTGTGGTGCAGTGCCTGGTCTGTAATTCTGTGCAATTACACCCTTAAAACTTTGATCAAAACGTCGATCCACCAAGTGTCTCAGCTTTCCTCATTATTGGTACATGAAAATAGGATAGTATTACATTGAATTTTGGGTGTAAAAATAATAAAATTCACACTTAACCAAAAAAGAAAATCTTAGACTAGTAATTTGAGTGTAGTTGTAGAACACTAGGGTCTTATGCAATGGCCAAGAGTATGTTCACCCAGTCAGCCCATGTCTTTGACTAAATATAACAAAATTCTACAAGTTCTAGCATTCATTTGCCCCCAAAGGATTGGGGATGCTTTAGATCCAAGATAAAAATAACAAACATGAAAACTGTCTCGGTTGCACTCTTCAATTCATACAATCTTCTAAAAATATCCAGACGTAAACTAAAAAATCACCCAAGTACCAAGAATGTTTCATCTATTAAAACCACCACTTCTAAAGAACAAAATTTTGTCCCAAAATGAAAGCAGATCATCTCCGTTCACCTCTTTTCACGACCCTTTTCTCTCAAGTTTCGCGTCTCCTGCGAGGAGCAGCGGCATTTTCTTCTCTCTCTTCCTCTTCAGCCTTTTCTCCGCTGGTGGATTCGTTGTTTGATGCCTCCGTGGCCTCTGGTTTCTTCTCCACTCTTGGCTGCTAAGAGATTCATCACTGGAGTAAGACCAAATGCTATAGAAGAATGGAACATATCATATAGACAACAAGATTGCTTCAAAAATCTTACTTTCTTTTTGCCACCGAAAATGAGCTTGAAGAAAACTGTGAGGATGATCACCACAATAGAGACAATGGAACCAATGGTGATATTTGGTTGTGTCTCTGCCTTTTCAATGAGATCCTAAAAGGAAGATGACAATATCAGATAAAACTAACTAGTGAATACTAATTCGCATACGAAAGAGCATATTTATGGCAACTTACAAGGATTTGAAGCTTGTATTCACTCAAGAAAGGAATATCAGCAACCTTGTATAAGACATCAAAGACCTTCTGCAGGAGAGAAACAACCAACTTTAAGCTATACAGATAAGATTTAGAAGACCAACAATAACAAAGTAACCTTGCCAATGCATTACCTGGAACCCTGAAAGTCCATCTGGATCAGTGGCTTCTTCCTCAACCTTCTGCTTTTCTTTCTCAACCTCAAACTTGGGTTTCCATGCGGTCTCCCTGTATGACTCGGCAACCTTTTCGCTTTTGGCTATCAAAATATTGTCAAACAATATGCCATCTTGCATTGTCCAGATCTCAATACCAATAGCAGCAATAGGCTCAAAGTCAGGCTTGTCAAGCTCAAAGTAGTCTGGGTTTGGAATCTCCCGAGGCTTCCAAATACCCTTGTAATTGGGGTTATCAATGAGAGGAGCAGACCATTTTCCCTTGTAAGCCGGATTCATCTTCATTGGCCTCTTCCATTCACCACAACCGGGGGCTGCCTCACACTTTGGGTTATCAATTTTGGGGGCTTCCCATTCACCATCTTCTTCATCATCCCAATCTTCCGGCTTGGTTGCCTCGGGATCATCTATCTCCTCAGGCTCATCATCTAACCATCCTTCTGGTTTCACAGCATCCTCATCTTCAATTTCCATGGGTGCATCCTCATCCCAATCATCTGGCTTTACAGCATTGGGATCAGTAAATTTGGCTCTCTCATCCCAATCCTCGGGTTTCTTATCATCTGGATCGGGAATTGTCTTAGCAGGGATAAGTGGAGGCTCGAAATCATCAGCTGAGAGGAAGTTTGCCTTCTTCTTCTCCTCACCGTCAATCAGAAATTTAACATCATTGTCAGGCTTCAAGATAGCAGTGTAGACATGAGTAAGCTTGTCGGACGGAACAGAGGGCGGATATTTAAGATGATGTTCAATGTATTCCCCGCTTTTAGGATTCTTGTGCTTCAAGATGAAGTGCACCTTGTTTGTGCCCCCACATTTGTCAGGTCCAAACATTATGGAATAAGGGGATTCATTGTCAAATTCCTTAGACATCCATCCAGCCTCTTGAGGACGAAGGTATTTCAAATATGCACCACCACATTCAAGCCCGTTCTGGAGGCGAGTCTCGAACTGAAGAACAGTGCTTCCATCCTTGAGAATCACAGGCTTATCGAGCTCATTCACTATAGCATACTTACGAGCCTTCTCACTCACAAGAAGCCCATAATCATCATGCCCTTCGCTCTTTGAATGCTTCCATACACCTGAAACAAAAAAAAAACCCCGAAACACCATTAATCTATACCCTTCAACTGCCTGAAACATCTAACAGGCCAATGTGCATCATATCATATTAAAGTTAAACATCATTATCTAACAAATAATATCAGCTTCGGATCAAAGAAATGGCGTATTGTACATGAATGAACATCATTAAATATCTTATCACTAATCCAACTCTTCCCAAAGATCAAGCTCTACACATATCTTGCTTGTTCAATTTCTACTTCTAGTTCTAAATGAACGCGAAATTTCAAATAAGCTCCACAACTAATCAACACTTAGAAACATCTCAAAGCAGCATAAAGAAAGCAGACGCTATGAATAACATTCAACAGAAGCGATCTATAAATAGAAAAACAAAATCAATATTAAGAAAAAGCAATCTCACCTTTATAATCATCTTTATCAGAGACGATCCATCGCCCATCAAACGGCTCGTCAAATGATTCATAAAAGACCTAAAACAAACCCGATCACTTGAAATTTCCACAGATTCAAACATTCTTAAGAAAATCTAGGGTTTAAATGTATAACTAAATTTACCGTATCATCATCAGCTGCGAAGAGGCTCTGAAATGAAGCGAAAGTCAGGAAAAGGAGAAGAGCGAAACGCCCCATCATCTTCAACTAATGATCGAAGGTTTTTCCCCTTTTGTTTTTGAATCTGAATCTAAATCTACATAGATGTCTCCACAGTGTTTGTGTTAATTTTATAGATCTTCGTGAGACTGGCGTCGACTTATTTTGCCCAATGAAATTACGCGCCACGTAAAATTAGCCAATGGTTTTCTGCCACGTCAACGAATGACACGAACGTCGCTTATAGACAGTAGGTACTAGTATATTATTTCTAGACTTACTTTTTGAAAAGTTCTGTTAACATTATGTTTTTAGTCCCTATACTCGAGGATACGTTTGTGGTAGTTTTAAATTTTTAGGGTAAAATAATGGAATAGTTGCTTACCTTTCATATTAGTACATTTATACTCACTAAATTCAAAAAAAATAAATTTTGATCACTTATTCAACTGTTAGTTTGAATACGTGATGGATTTTGAGTTTCAAATTTTATAAATATTCTTGCATCGACTTATCAAAGAAATATTTTAACGGTATTAGTAATATAGATTAAATTGTAATATTAAATAATAATTTAAAGATCAAACTATACTAAATTATAACGATTAAATTCTCGTGTTTGGCACAAGGTGAAAGGCTAAGAGGACTGAATTTCAGAACAATACAGCTTTTTGATAGTTTTGAAAACCCTAACGCTTGCTTTTCATTTTCTCTACCCTCCGCTTGCCTTTGCCTTTGTTTTCTCATTTTTCGTTTACCTTTTTTTTCCGTTTACAGATGACGGCACTATCGTCTGTATTTCTTGATTCATCTCGAATTGTTATTTTTCTTTATTTTTAATAATTATCTTTATGATATAATTTTCTCTATTTTTATAACGGTTG